GCACACCACTACACAAATATTATCAACAACAATGCCCCAAGGCCATCACAAGTCATAACAAATTATCCCTGACATAGCCCCCTTTGTCTCGCTGCGTACGCAATAATAAAGTAAATGCCCGCCTTGTCTCGCAACACGCACATAATAATATTCCCGCCTTGTCTCGCTACATGTGCAAACCCACATATGTATAGCCCGCCTTGTCATGCCGCATGTGCAAATATCAATAATAACAATAGCTCGGACAATTCAAGTGCGAACACCCCGACAAATCCTCTCAACAATATCACGTGTGCCAAAAACATAATAACATAATATAACAACTCGCACCACATGTGCTCATATGCCACAATGTTTTCTCAAGACAATTCCAATACCATAACCACACATACTCAGCTCAACAACACCGAGTACAACAACAATAACACGGGAGTACGGCAAGTGAATTAACACAAAATTACAAAACACTAGGAACGGAAAAACGAGCTCATGATGAAAGACATAACAAGTAATAACGGTTTCAAACAAGAAAAACTCAACAATGAGAGAGGTAGTATGTAACAACGATGTCAAATAAGAGTAACTTAACAATAGCAGAGATAACATGTAACAATGATTTCAAATAAGAATAACTCAACAATAAGAGAGATAGCATGTAACAATGATTCCAAATACGAATGACTCAACGATAAGAGAGATAGCATGTAACAATGATTTCAAATAAGTACAACTCAACGATAAGAGAGATAACATATAACGATGACTTCAAATAAGGATAAGTCAACAATGGAAAAGATAACAATAACTTCAATTAAGGATAATCGACTACGGAAGAGATAACATGGCAATAAACAAGGCAACAACTTCAAGTAAGGCATATAAAAGTAATCAAATACATCCATACCCATAGCATAGCATACACGAAGGAGGAGCAACCCTAGTGCTTTCTCTTATTGATTACAACTTTCTAATTATTTTCGCATTCTAAGTGTTTCATTAAATTTCGTAGTCATAATTTTAGAAGTAATTACAGAAAATCAATCTTTTATTTGAAGATTACTTTAAGTTCATTGAATTCACACACTCTTTGACATTCTAGCACACACCATACTACTCGTGGGATCGACCCCAACCTTGTTGGGTTTATTATTGAAATCAACCGTACTACTTTCAATTTGAGAGTAGGATTGGACGAGACCAATTTTTAGTGTCATTGCCGGGGAGTATGGTGTTCTTGTGTTACCGTGTTATTGTGTGTTCATTCAAGTTCTTATCTTTTCTTCATTGTTACTTTGATCCGTTTACTTTTGGTGTAGATTGTGATGGTAGGAGACGATCTTGGCGCTTTGCCTTTAGGTCCTATCGGGGAAGCACCCCGTGCACACTGACCAGCAAATCGAAACTAACAGAACGAACAAGTTCCACCACTTCAACAACAGGTTCCACAAGCACCTTGAGCACAATAAGATCTACCATAAGCGGTGCGAAATTGAGGATATGCTAGTGCGATTGTACCACCAAGGATAAGGGGGGGAGTACCTTCACAATCACTAGTGTTATGAATAGCATGCTTCAATATAGAGGAAATTTCACAAGAGACCACGGTCAAAATGCCAACAAACATCTCAAGCACTTCATCGATGTGTGCCAAATGAACAAGCAACCAAATGTCTCGGATGAAGTAGTACAATTGAGGTTATTTTTGTTCTTATTGAGAGAGAAAGCTTTAGATTGGTTGGAGAGATTTCCAAATCATTCAATTCACTCATGGGACGAAGATGTGAAGACTTTCTTGGGCAAATATTTTCCACCGGGGTGAATGGCCATATTTAGAGATGAAATTTTGGGGTTTAGACAACATCCCACAGAAGTATTACATGAAATATGGGAGAGATATCCTGGAATGGTTAAGGAATGTCCAAATAACGACATAACTAACAACATGCTCCTTCAATAATTCTATAACGGTCTTAATACCACTAATCAGACCTATGTAAACTAATTAGCTGGGGGGAAATATTATGAACAAGACGAATCAAGAAGTTGAAAACATATTGGATGAAATGGCCAACACATCAGCCACTTGGCAATCTAGAGCTAATGTGCCCCAATGGGATCCATCTATGGTAAACTTGACTAAGCAAATGGAAGATCAAGGAGAACAAATTACAAAATTGACGACAACATTGAAGTTGTTAGCGAAGAACCAAATGCCAATGCAAGTTAATGCTATGGAAAATGTTCAAGGTTCGGGTTTTAACCAAACATCAATGGGTAACCAATTCCTGGGTCAAGAAGGCACTTATTTTGCCCAAGGATCACATCAAGAAGGCGACTTCCAAGAACAGTGTTATCAAATGCAAAATGAGGGAGCTCAATATGTGGGTAACTATTAAGGAGGTCAACAAAGGTCTAACAACCAAGGACAATAGATACATGGCAACCAATGGAATGAGGTAGTTCAAATTGGTCCAACCAAGGCAATCAAGGCTAGAACAACAATAATTAGGGAAATCGCAATGGAGGGCCATCTCAAAACTACAAACAACAAAGGCCCCACAACAGTCAAGGGCAATCTTCTGGTGCCCCCGAGCTAAGAGTTATGATGGAGAGAATGATTAAAAACTAGGAGCAGTCCGACAAATAAAGGAGATATATCAATCAAGTGGTCAGTTCTCATACCACGCCAATCAAGAAAATTGAGAATCAATTAGGACATATTTTATTTCAATTGAATGTGAGGCCACGCGGAGCATTGCCAAGTGATATTGTCTCAAATCCAAAGGGAAATGATGGTATAGGCCATGTATTTGCAATTACCATGAGGAGTGGTAAAGTTCTTAAATGAAGAACCATTTTGATTGAAGATGATGAAGAAGAGGAGATTACGCCTCCTAGAGTTGTTGACCCTCCTAAAGTCGATGTATCGGTAGTAGAGTCAAATGTAGTTGAAGAGATGCAACAAACACCTAGTTCTCTTCAAGATGTGATATATATACCTCCCAAAGGAAATGAAGTAATCAAAGAAGAAACTAAGGAGGCTTCTAAGTCATACAAGAAGCTACCTAGACCATCTCCTCCTTATCTACAGAGGTTTGCCAAACAACATAAAGAGGGCCAGTTACAGAAATTCTATGACATGTTGAACCAGATCATTGTTACCGTTCCTTTTGTGGAGGCACTTGAGAAAATGCCAGGGTATGCTAAGTTCATGAAAGACTTGGTCACCAAGAAGAAAAATAGTCAAAGTGACACATCAGTACAGTGCAATCATTTCACAAATCAGAATGAAAACGATGTAGGATGCGAGTTCACTATCCCTTGCAGTATTGGTGTGACAAGTTGCGCCAAAGCACATAATGGTAGATTGGGTGTGTTTAATCTAATGCCATACGCTGTGCTTAAGAGATTCGGTTTGGGTGATCCAAGGCCTACCTCTATGAAGCTTCTTATGGCGGATCAAACTTTGAAATATCTGTTTGGGGTCATTGATGTCATTCTTGTCAAGGTGGGTCATTTATACTTTCCAGACGACTTTGTGATAATGGACTGCGAAGTGGATAGAGAGGTCCCCATCATACTCGGTAGACCAGTTTTGGCTACGGGACAGGCCATTTGAGATGTGGAAGCGGGAGAACTGAAATTCCGCTTGAATGATGAAGAAGAAATCTTCCATATCTAGAAGTCAATGAAGCAATCGCATGACTATGAAGTGATCTCTGTAATTGATATAGTAGATGAGGACATAGAAGAAATGTGTCATGATGAATCCTTGAGAATGGTTCTCCTAATGCAAATAATTACCCCATGGACAAGTTGCGGTTCCAATCCTATGAGAAGGCATCATTGTACAAGCGGAGGAATAAATACCTCTACTACAAGAAAATCAAAAAGAAAGAGTTTTACCTAGGGGTATGGTTCTTATTTACAATTCAATGTTCAAATTGTTGTGGGGAAAGCTTAAATCGAAATGGTAGGGACCATTCAAACCTGTTAATATATGCCCATTTGGTGTCATGGATTTGGAATCTGAAGATGGTATGAGAATATTCAAGGTGAATGGGCAAAGACTTTGACACTATTTTGGTGAAATTGATAGAGAAAAGGCAGTCTCAAGAGTTGAGTTAGGGGAAACACCAATGTAATCGTGAAGTTGGTTGTTGTTGCGTTGTGCCCCGACGTTAAATAAGGCACTTCTTGGGAGGCAACCCAAATTCTCTGCTTTAATTCGTTCATCACAAAATACATCATCAATCTTATTGTCTATAGCAAACTCCCCCACTTGGTTTGAAGCCATAGAACATATCATTTGTAACCTATAGTACTCTTCATTCATAGCTGCCCTGATCATGTATCGTTGATCAACTGAATACCTCATAAACTCATATAATACTAGTCATAAACTCTCCAAAGATTCTGCCAAGTGCATATTCACCCTTGTGACAGTCGCATGAACTTTCTCAAGCCCTACAAAATAGTAGTATGTGCATTCTATTGAATAGAAGCCATATACAAATCAGAACAATACCAGTAGTGACAGTATCTGATGCAACGGCCTTGGTCCTACCAGGGAAAGCATAACAATGGGAATGGCCTCCCCCTCTGGGACGTCCTCTATCCGCCTGTCCTCTATCTCTAGCTGGTTGTGCAGGTGGAGTAGCAACTGGAGCAGAACCCATAGCCGGGGTACCCTGCTGAAGTCCACCCATCCGAAGTCTGGGGAATCTCTCATAATGTGCCTAATATCGCCATACTCAAAATAACACCTCTACGAGCATGGCTGCTGGTACTGAGTGGGCCAGATGACTGGAATAACCACTGTAGGAGCCTCGTGCAGAAGGTGAACTGAAAGATGGTTGTCCGATATGAGTACCCTAGGGTCCTTGGCTAGTAAAAGCAGTACAGGTAACCTGAAGTGCGGACTGAACTGGAAGACCGATGAAGCCTCTGCCATGATGGGTCAAAGTCGAAGAGTAATCCACTAAATCCTCTAGAACCTCGAGGCTTTTTATCCTTCCTATCCCTCATCTCTTCCCTGTGGATACGCTCTACCTTCTTAGCAATCTTCACAACCTAATGGAATGGAGTCTCAGTCTCCAACTCCCATGCCATCCTAGATCTAAGGCTATAGCCGAGTCCCTCAATATATATACAGACTCTCTCTCTGACAGTGGAAACCAAATCAGGTGCATGAAAAGATAAATCTATAAATCTCATAGCATACTCGGTGTAACTGCTCGAACTCGGTGCGCAACTCATCCCTGCGGGTCAATGGAACAAACTCTCTCTCGAAAATATCAAAGAACTGGGACCAAGTAAGTGGCGATATGCCAGCTGGCCTACTCAGCTCGTAAGTCTGCCACCATTTATATGTCGGTCCCGTCAGCTGAAATGTAGTAAGGTCGACCCCGCTCGGAACCACCACACTCATAGTACGCCAAATACGGTGACATTGATCCAATAAATCTTGTGCATCCTTAGAAGGCCCTATGCTGAACTGGGGAGGATGGAACTTCTAAAACCTCTCCAAACTCTTCTGCCCCTCAGCCGACACAACTGGCCCAACCTCGGGCTGAACTGCAACCACTGGTTGTACCGGTACAACACTCAGTGTCTAATAAGCATGAGTTGGCTACTCTGGTGTACCGGAGCGGGAGTCTGAGCTCCTCCCCCGGCCTGTGAAGTAGCTGGTGTAACTGGAATCAATCTTGCCTGAGCCAATGTCCCAAACATGCTCAGAAAGTGTGCCAAGGTCTATTAAAGTCCAGGCGTAGCAATAGGCTGCTCAGGTGCATGCTAGACATGTGCAGGCTCCTAATCCTCAACTGGAGCTGCTGGAGGCTCCACAGCTGCTGCTCTAGCAGGTGCTCTAGCTGTAGCACGTGCCGCTCCTCTGCCCCAGCCTTTCGTTGTTGTAGTAGGGGGAGTGGGTGACTGCTCAACTGATCAGGTAGCACATGTCCTCACCATCTATGAAAGAATATAAAGACAAAGGCTCAAACTTTGAAATCGATAAATCAGCACGATATGGAATGAAAGAAGTGATATTTTCCTAATAATGCTGTCGTCACTAGAAAATAAGTACAGACGCCTCCATACCGATCCGTAAGACTCTACAAAACTTGCTTGTGACTCGTAGAACCTATGAACCAAGATCTCTTATACCAACTTGTCACGACCCAAATCTCACCATAAGGGTCGTGATATCACCTAGTCTCTAAAACTAGGTAAGTCGATCACCTATCAATATTTAAATTAGTAAAACATGATAGAATAAAGCATAGTTTAATATAAATATGGAAATAAAGGTGATACAAGTCAAAACAACGATAATCACAAATATATCCCCATATCTAGGTCGTACAAAGTCACAAGCTCCAACTGAATACATAAAAATATCTCAAAACACCATATTGTTCGGATAAAGAGTTGACAGTATAAATATAAGAAAGGACTCCAAGGGTCTGCGAGGATCAAATCAACTCTACCTTGAATCCTCTTGATCAAAGAAGCTCTCATTGCCTAGGTCCGCTACCACCAACACCTATTTCTGCACAAAAATGTGTAGAAGTAAAGTATGTGTATACCATAGTCAGTACCCAGCAAGTATCAAGACTAACCTCGGTGAAGTAGTGATGAGGTTCAAGTCATGGGATACCCACTAGACAAAATAGCATGTGCAATAAATCAAATACTGACAACAAAAGTATAGCAAAAGTACAATAGCAATAACCTCATCAGAATAAGTGATAACAGTTCAATACTAATAAAGGCTCAGTTAAAACAACAAGTTATCACAAAGAAACTCACACAAATAACACAACATACCCACATTTTTATCACTATAACAATAGCCACTTGTATTCCTCCGTCCTGACAAAGTCACAATAGCCACACGTACAATCCGCCCTGACAATATCATAATAGCTACCTGTATCGCTCTGCCCTGACAATATCTGTATCGCTTCGCCGAGATAATATCACAATAGCCACTTGTATCACTCCACACGATCAACAATAGTGAAATACCAACCTTATACTCCGCACATAACAATCAATCGACACAACATGTCCACATGTGTCACGATATCACAAAATAATAATATCAAAGTTTTATCAAGATATAAGCTCAGAACTTTTCAACAAGGTGCACAAGGACATGACAATAACATAAAAGTGCGAAGGGGTGCTCAACAAATAAAGCATGACTATGGCTAAGTGAAATGTAGCGAGTACGATCATGTAGTCACAAATTGGTTTAAGTATATTTAATATATAATATACCCCAAAATTAAGGTATATTAATAGCCTAAGATCTATTCCGGTCACAAACCACACATAGCACCTGCGTACACTCTCGTCACATCATGTACACGTCGCTTTGCACATAACACGGATAAGCAATCAAGGCTAAATCCTAAGGGGTATTCCCTCATACAAGGTTTGGCAAGATACTTACCTCAAATAAGCCAAATCGGTACTCTAAAAATCCCTTCCCATGTGAATCAACTTCCAGATGGCTCAAATCTAGCCAAAATAACTTAATAACCTCAATAAAAGCCATAGGAAATAATCCCAAACAATAAAGTTTCGATCTTGAACTAAAATCAAAAAGCCAACCTGGGACCGCTGCTCAGAACCCAACAAAAGTCACAAATTCTGAACACTAATTCAAATATGAGTCTAACCATACAAGTTTCATCCAAATCCGACTTCGAATCGGGGTTCAAATCTCCATTTTTCATATTATAAAAGTTTTGCCAAAGTTCACAATTTTTCTCACTTAGATTCATCAAGTAAATGTTAAAAACAAGGATGGAATCATGAATAGTAACCAAATCCGAGTCAAGAATACTTTCCCCAATCCAAATCGTGAATATGTTTTCTAGAAATCGTTCAAAACCGAGCTCCCAATCTCAAAATATGATAAAACAACTAAAGCCCTCGAAATGGAATTATATAAGTCCACCCGGGGGTTCCCTTCACGATCGCGGGACCTACTTCGCGATCAAGAAGAACAAATCAAACACTGGCCAAAATCCTCCTTCACTAATGCGGTCTGGCACCCGCGAACACGACCCACACCTTCACTGGCCTATGTGAATGCGGTCCTCCACACACGAATGCAAAGGCCAACAACTGGGCGCCTCCATCCAGCTCTCCCTCTACGTGAACACGACGCACAGGATGTAAACACAATGACCACATTCCACCAAGCTTCGTGAACGCGACATCCTCATCGCGAACGAGAAGAGAAAATCATATGCCATCCAAATCACACTCCATGATCGTAATGCTTCATGCGATGAACACCAAAACATCAGAAAACCAGCAGTTCCAATACAAAGAAAAATGGTGTGGAACCCATCCGAAATACACACGAGCCCCCCTCCCCCGGAACTCCGTCCAATCACACTAACCGGTTCCAAAATATATCAGAGACCTACTCGAGATATCAAATCATACAAAATAATATCAAAACCACGAATCGCACCTCAATTCAAGTTTATTGAACTAATCCAAATTTTCGAATTCAAAACTTACGCTGAACATGCCTAAACAACCCGGAATGACCTAAAATTTTACACATAAACCATAAATCACCATACAAACCTATTC